ATTTAGCTACATTTTTTCTCAAGAAAGCTTAATGTAGCATTAAGAGTTTACGAGTTATCAACGATTTCTGCCAAGGTGACATTCGGCTAATATCTCCCGCATGGGTGGGAGACTTGACCCCTCGAGTAGGGAGCCTTTACCCTCCACTTTAGGATTAGGCAAAATAATCATTACACATTGTAAATCTATAAATTTAATTAAAAAAATATGGCACATAGTATTACCTGAACCTACTCCATCTTTCACATAACTAGGTAACAAACCTTATAAGTAGTTAAAGCTTAAAAGTAGGTAATACAAATTATTTTTTGGTATGGAATCTTGTACGTTGTCGGCAAAATAAAAATTAGAGTTATTCTCAAAATTAAGAACAAAAATAAAATAATACATAACAAGATAACAAAATCTACTTATAAAATAGTCATACTCTCCATCAGAAACAGGAAGTCAACCTTATAAGTAGTTTAAACTTAAAAACCTTGTATGTTGTCAGTAAAACAAAAATTAAAATAACTCTCAAAATTAAGAGCAAAGATAATAACAACCTTCATCAGTCTTACTTTTTTTAATTGGAGCAATTGGGACAAATAAACTGCTCCTTATCGTCTTTGGATAGTCCAACACACATTTCATGGACATATTTGCCACAAACAGCACAAAGTCTCATGTCCATAACTTTGTCTTCCCCACAGATGAAACAAAACCAATTATCAGTAACATCTGGTACTTCATCCCAGGGACTATCAGAACTATCATCATACTTGGGTTCTTCGTCAAGGTCTGTCTCACTGTCACTTGACTGTAAAACTTGTCTTTTTACTGTCTTTTTCTTTGCTTTGCCTGTTTGCCTTTTCGTAGTTATTTTAATTTTCTTATTTTCGGTGCATACTTATCATCTTGGTCTAGTTTTTCTGGCGTTTTTGTTAAAATTTTAGTTTTTCCGGGCTGTCTACCACGACGAAGACTTTTTCTAGAAGTAGCTTTTGGAAATGGTCGAATTGTTTGTGGTAAAACTATTTTTGGTGTGTGTCCGGAATCAGAATCTACCGTTGTCATATCCAGAACATTAGATGTAGAAGCTATCTCTGCTGATCGTCTTGGTATTGTATTTGCTTGCTCGGATTCTTCCGCAGTCAAAATTGATGGTGAATTGATTCTAGGAGCTGCAGTTTCATTCGTGAATACTGATGCTGATGTTGAAGGCTCTGACTGACGTACAGTAGATGTTGAAGGTAATGCGACCGTGGTTGAATCTGATGGTACTTTTGCAGCGACCGAGGGTGAAGTAATCGAAGAAACATCTTGCTTTTGGAGTTCACTAGTCATTTCTCTATCTGTTACCGCAGAGCATAAAAAGTCGTCATCTGTAAAGATGTCCGGGTTATAGGGGTGTATCCCAGTTGATCGAAATCCACTCAAAATATTGGATAGACTAAAAGCCTGCGACATGATTGTGTTTACAAATCCAGGTATATTGTAGATCGTAACAGTTCGTCCTGGGTTACTGATCATCCGTATTCATGGCTGAATTATATCTAGTCTTGAAAGATGATAGACGGAAACATCTAATGGCTGTAGCTTTCTGCTGCAGTGGGGGGGGTATAGTCAGCAAAGTGACTCCATTTGATTTTGCATATTTAACGACTTCAACACTGATATGACTTTCGTGGTTGTCGAGGATAAGCAGGACTCGGTTATTAAGAGATGCGTTCGAATATTTCACAAATGCTCCATGATTTTACGAAACTCTTGGTTGTCATCCATCCACTAGGATAGGAGTCACCATGTGAGCCTGAGGCCCACCAGCTACAAAGCATTCGTTGTATCTAACCCTAGGGAAATGAAAAATGGAGGAAGAACATTTCCCAGAGCGTTCACAGCGAAGCAACGGTCACAAGGCTGCCGCGTTCAGCTGAAGTAACTTGTCCTACTTGACGCATATGCTTGCTCGCTATTACTTTGGGACACTCTTGTACAGTCATACCCCTGGTTCATCACAGTTATAGATGTTATGTGCTTCAAATTGGTATTTTCTCTAACTTCTTTGAGGTTCTCGAAGAAATCAGTAACGTTTTTTCTATTGAAGCTGGTTGATCTGGATAAACTGGTGGCTTCTGGGGTTCTCAAACTTAGTTCAGGGTTTCTTGTCATAAATCCCCGGAACCAATCTTTTCCTGCGCAGTTGTTGGAAGTCCCAACAATCTGGAACCTTTTGGAATTCATTGTTGCATATTCACATGCTAGCTGCATAGTCGCCTGTCTGGTTAATCCATAATCATTTTGCTGCAAGCTATAAGATATTCAACAAGCGCCTTCTCTTCTTCGATTGTAAATATCATAGATGTTTTAAACTGGCTTTCCTTGTTCACTTATTTTAGTCAATTTAGACCTGTCTCTTAAATAATTTTCTTAAGGTATTTCTGTCAATTCCATATTCCAAAGCAACACCTCGATAGACTTCCTTGATCAATGGCACCTAAAGCATTTTTTATTACTGACAGATCTAAATTGCTTCTCTTCTAGTTGTTTCTTTTTTTCTATAGTTGAAGGGCATTCTCTGAAATAAAATGAATAAATTTATTGCGGGAGAAACGACCCTGAAGAGAGGGAGAGATTACCCTGGGTAAAGTCTCCTCCAACGCCAGGGTAATGTCTCCCACTCCACGCCATACTACCAGTTATTAAATTTAAAAAAAAGCTATGACACTTGAATAAAAGCTGGCTGTCGTAAATATGACTAGAATAATTACACTTACGGTGTATATAAGTGGCGTGCTGGAATCTATCCACAGTAAAGAACAGAGATCAAATGTCGAAAACTGAATAAACTCACTTTCCAGGTACGAAAACGTGTTGCCACTTCTTACTTCCAAACCAAACTGCCGATTGTAACGGCGCTACGTGAGCGGGGTGGGAGGTGCCTATGACGTCTGAGAAGTGTGGCAATGTCGTAACATCTCGTGCCACAAATATTCTATGAGCAGCGGCTATTGTCTCCCACCTGCTAGACTCTCCCGGACTCCCCCTAAAGATCTAACAAGGCTAGTAGACATCTCGTGCTCGCATAACCTAGAAATTAATCCATCTAAATCTTCAGTTATCGAGTTTTTTTTTTGAAAAACCGACAATCGGTTGTAGAACAATTCGACTGCTTATTTATCTATTGGACAACAATTTTTTTAAGAGTAATAATGGTTTTACAATATAGATATGTTGTATGTGGTTCTACCTGGAGGCAACAATAGAAAAATGCTGAATTGATCGGCAGAATATTTTGTTCGTCGGGCACAAACGTAGGTCATTCTGGCAAAGCTTTCGAATTGATAGAGCACTTGGTGCCAGTACTGCCACCATGCGGATCTAGTTTTTAAGATGTGTTGATAAATGGCCTTAAGTGTATGGGATTGATTCGACTTTTTAACTACCTGAGGATAGAAGAATGGAAAAAAGCATCGAGTAGGATAAAATGCCAAATTAAGCCCTCAGTGATCTGCACCCCGACAAGCCGATAAACATGAGTGCAAAGGCTGTACCTACTCGCTTACTTTTGTTAGCGGTGCCATTCTTTTTGAAAAAATGCCCTTCTTCCTGTAAATACTCACTATGTCTAAACAAATCTACTTTAGCATGTCAACATCCTATTCATATCCTCCAAATACTTATCCTCAGGGTAAGTAAACACACACACTGTTACGTGCAACAAGCATACAGTGAATAAATACCTTTTTCCAAAAAACCGCAAAACGCAAATCCCTCACTCGACAATGTCTTTATCTTTGTTGGTGTTTACTCCGCTGTCTGTAATCCCTCTACCTAACAGACCCTTGTTCAGGCTACTTACTGACCGTAGGGATTGCAACCGACTGCTCTTTTGACACTTTCAAAGGCCCTCCGAGGCTTTTTATTTCAAGTTGATGTTTGATATGAGTGAAGTGCTTTTGTAACGTCAAGTGCTACTTTGGTGAATTGGGGTGCATGGAGAAATTAGCTTGATGGGTACATTTAATGTTGATAAGATCCGTTTGAGTCATTTTGTTTTTTTTATACCGCAGCTGCGTAGGAGCTTAAATACATTTTTTTAAGAGCTGCGGAGAGGTTAGTAGAACTGAAAAAAGCGTCCTCACGCAGGCTGTTTCACAATCTCAACATCTCAGGGACAACGGACCGGTCGTACCGGCCAGTTATGGAAGTAAGGCAGGTCTATCTGACTGGCTCATCGCGTGGCGGCTTTATGATGAGAACTCTGAGGTAGAGGTAGAAAACCAACATAATGTCACTTTTCAAGATACGTAAAACCCGTGCAAGTCTCTGCGGCTTCGTTCTTCATACATAACATAACAAGTTTTAGGAAGAGCTCTTTTGATCGAAGAAGCTACATTTATGGATATCCCAACTTTTATCTTGGCTAACATCACATATCGGTATAACAGCAAGTTATATGATGTATGATGTACAAAAATGAAAACAGAACAGAGCTAAATTCTGTACGAGTCTTCCATCCTCAAGGAATTATGACTTGGCTTGTTGTGAAAGATCCTGTGAACCAATCATTATAGAGGAACGCGACCAATATTCCAATACCTATCACGTACACTATTCAATCATAAATCTTTCAAGGACATATTCGACGAACGAAACCGGCAATTTGGAGAAAATTAGAAGAATAATATAAAACATTTAAAAATGTTTTCCTAATATTTAGTCAAATTACACAAAATAACAGTCAATCATCAAAAAAACGGGCGCCGTAACAAAAAAAATGTGTCTATACTTACCAAAGTACTTTATTCAAATATCAAATTACTCGTAATCGC